TGTCTTCTTCCTGTGGAGCATCCTAGTGTCAGATGTTCCCCAGTGAAGTGACGCACACACACCTGGCCCTCCATGTAGTGTAAAATAAAATGGGATTCATCAGATCATAACTCGGTAGTCCAGTTCTTGTACCCAAGTGAACGAGCTTTTATTTGCAGTGGGGACAGAAAACAAACAAAAGTGGAACATGACAAAAACTACACTAAACAAAGACCTAAACGAGGAGGCAGCTACAAAAGTAATATAAAGGAATCAGAAACCTGAGAGAAGACGTAGAACACGGCACATGAATGGCTTGGATGAAGGACATGGATGATATGCAAACAATCTGACAACAAACAGAGGAAGACAAAGGGCCTAAATACACAGGGGGATAATGAGGGAATGGGAAACAGGATGGAAACACACCTGGGAGAAATCAAACATGACTAGACAAAGTGGAAGCAAAACTAAAAACATTAACAAAGGACACAGGACTATCAAAGTAAAGCAGGAAACATAACAAAGGCACAGAGACACGGACTTTACTCTGACACAAGGAGACAGAGGGAACATGGATCACAGGTAAAGCACAGAAATCAAGAGACTAGAAATTCTACATAATAATGAAAGCAAATCCTATTAATAATTCAAAACACAAAACACTGGGTCACCGACCCACGACCATGAGATCCAGTATTTATGATTGCCTATTTTTCCATAATGTTATGCCTCTCGGTGTATAGGAATGATTTTCCACTGTCGTGCTTTAGTAGGTTTTCAAATATATGCTGATGATAAAGTGATATATCAGGAAAAAAATGCCTTGTCTGTCTTCTTGCAACTGTTTTATAATTTGCATTGCTTGGTAGCATAGCTTGAAAAGTGTTGTCTTACACTGAACATCAAGGAAAGTGTGTCAGTTTGCTTTCCCTCCAGGGCTCACTGCTTAAAAGAGGTCTATGAGCCTACTAGCACATTGAGGCAACTGATGTGATTTGGATTCAAATAAAAGATCTTGATCTCATTTTAGAATTCAAAATTGAAAAAAAAAATTTAAAAGGTGACCAAAGTAGCAAAAACAAACATACATTTAAAACTTTTAGAGACAGTTTATCGTTTCATTACTCTTAAGTCTCAGCTGATGAAATATAATCCAATAAATAAAATTTTGGATAAAAAAATCTATAGGGGTGCACCATTGCAATGTGCTTAAGAAACTAAAAATGTGAAGTTTTGACAGTTTATCACATTTACTAGTCTAAAGTTAATATATAAATATTTATATAATATTTGTCACTGATTCTGTTCATAATTTGTATGAACAGAATTTCTAGCCAAGTGGTGGAAGGCTCAGAATCTTGTCTCTGCTTTTTGTAGATAATGTCGTTCTGCTGGCTTCATCAGGTAGTGGACTCCAGTTTGCAATGTTGCAGTTCCCAGCTGTGTGTAAAGTGGTGCGAATGAGAATCAGCACCTCCAAATCTGAGGCCATGGTCCTCGCAAAAGGAAAAGTCCGGAAAAGGATGGAGTACCCAATACAGGTTAGGGACGAATTGATCCCCAAGGTGGAGGAGTTTAAGTATCTCGGGGTCTTATTTACGAGTGACGGGAGAAGGGAGCGGGAGATCGCGAGACAGATTGGTACTGCAGCTGCAGTGATGTGGATGCTGTACTGGTCTATCATGCTGAACAGAGTGCTGAGTGTAAAAGTGAAGCTCTCAATTTACTGGTCAATCTACGTCATTCCCCTTCCCAATGGTTACGAGCTCTGGGTAGTGACTGAAAAGAACAAGATCACAGATACTAGCGCCGGTAATGATCTTTCTCTGAAGGGTGCCTGGTCTGGGAACGCCTTGGTGTTCCCCCAGACAAGCTAGAGGAAGTAGCTGGGGAGAGGGAGGTCTGAGCTTCTCTGCTAGGCTGTTGCCCCCGCGAACCAGCCCTTGATAAGCAGGAGAAAATTGATAGATGGTTCCATAAGTGTTCAGGGACCATATGGCTCCTCTTAAAGTTCTGGGTTCAGCAACATGCAGAACAGATCTTAGACACCTGATTAAGACTAAACAATCGAGGTCCTACATAAATATATACCTACAGTACATAGAGGTTTTTTGTTTCAGATGAGCAGAGACTATCATAACACATAATAGTTAATATGGTCAGACAAATGCTTGATTGATCAGGTAGGATGGAGAAGGAAAAAAAAGCCAATACATGCATTATTTATGTAGTCTAGGGACACATTAAGACATTATCTAAGGCTTTCAGAGCTGTGTCCTGTAACCCTGTTAAAGTCCCTTGCAAGATATGGAAATTTATGGAAAAACACCAGATAAGGGAAGGCATCTAGAAAAAGCTTCAGTGGGCCAGCTGCACAGAGGCTTAAACCTTGTTTTCCGCCGGAGATCCCACTGAAGTTGAAATATTTTGTCTACACTGACTGATTGATCTGTGACAGTGAAAACACAAATTATTGTATTAAGTAATTATGTGTTTTATTATTAGGCATTGACTGAGAACAGATATGATTACATGATCCCTTCAGATAAAACAAATTAAAAAGTCACAAAAAACCTTCAAAGGGTATGTGGACATTGACATAAGAACACATTTAAACAATAATTACATAATTGCATACTTATAATTACTATAGCCTTTAGGCTCACTTTAAGTCAGGTATAATTTTGTGCATTTCTCTGTAGATAATTGCATTATTTTACTGTTGTCATAAGTGGGATATGACATATATAGCCAAAAACAGATCAGACGATGCAATGTTCTTGCCAGTGACTTGTAGGTACAGCCTCCGGCTTAATCTTCTTGTGCTGTAACCATGACAATAACAATAGCCTACGCAAACTTACAAATATAGATCCTCCTCTTTTGGGAGTATACAGATTGCCCTAAAGAATCAACTCTTCACTGTGGCCAGCAAGCCAAGACTTATCTTGTTGCTCTTTGCAAAATCATGTCCTCGCTGTAGCCAAGACAGTCAACATTTATCTTTCTGCTGCTCACCAGACATGCAGACATGTTGTCTGAATTACTGCTCCCTATTACGCAAACTATAACACATTAGTTAAGTAATACATACAGTATGTAACTAATTTAAATCGATTCCAGTTTTTAAAAAAAAGTCCAGACAATGGTATTTTTGTTGATTTCTAATTCATCACCCTATTAGAAAAAGAGAAGACATTACCATCATCGCAATCAAACTCAGAAAGCCATGCAAACAACATTAAATAACACTTTCATCTACTTTGGCTGATTAAATATCTACTTAGGCCAGAGCTCTGTTTGGAAAAATATGCTGTCACAAATTTTCAAAGGAAACAAACAACGTTAGTTATTCCAACATGACAGACACAACAATTCTAAGAGTGAAATGAAGACCAGTGAACAATAAAATAAGATCCAAACAGATAACATAAGAAGAAAATGCGGATATAGGTACTTGAATGTGAATACTAGACCTATGTTATAGTTGGTTATATTTTAGTATAATAGATATATTATATTGGTTATCGTGTAAACAGACGCTATGTTTTAAAGAGTGTATAAGAGCTTTTGAACCTGAATATTTACTCTAAAGTCCAAAATCAGTCCCGCTGGCTAAAATGTAGCAAGGTTGACACCCAGTGGTTTGATCCGAACATTACAGCTGTAAACCCGCAATCTCCGCCTTATTCAAATACAATATTTGTTCAAATACAGGTCAGAGGCAAACACTTAAGTTTGCTATTCCCAGTGTGGATGGTGTTCAACAGTTGGGTAAATCCGTAATAGGCAGTGAGATTGGAAACTAATTAAAAAATTATGAGGAAATTACGAGTTTCTGTGCCAGATGTGAGAGCTGATTACTTTGTCTTAATTTCCTAAAAGGTGCACCAGCTCAGTGTGATAAAGATCATTAATTTGACTACATTAAGAGGCGGCTGGCGAGCACGTTTAAAATAGACTATGAGCAAATTGTAAACCGTGATGGCGTCCATTTATGCTGCCCCTTTCTTTTATATTTTTCCCTCAGTTGAAATGACTGAACTGCATTTAATCTGGATGCATTTCATCAAAAATGATGCTCAAAATGTTTGTTTGTTTTAAATATGGATAGGAATTATAGTTCAGATTGGATGAAAGAAATTTTCCACTATCGCATAATGTCAGTGGTTTTAGGAGCAGATGGGTCTGGACCAGACCATGGCTAATACAACAGATGACAGACGGTGGTCTCTGGAACCAGTCTCTCACATATGACAGCCTCACTTACTGGTTTGATCTGGTCTTTCCAGTCCTCTTCCATCTCTGTCCATTTGTATAAATATCATTTTTATCAGCCACAATTACAGCCAAATTATCACAAAAATCACCCAATGCTGTTAAGAATTATTAAATAGATTGCACAATTGCATTGAGGCAACATTACTTCCTCACACACTGCAAATAGTTGCTCCATCATGGATAATGACATGTCATAAGAATACTAGAAAAGGGAAGTTTAGTTAACATGATTAGAAAAGTCAAAAAGTCAAAAAGGCTGCTACTCATAAGCAACAACCCTTTACATTACTCTCAAAGTAATAACTACAGTGTTCCTTGGTTTTTAACAAGCTGTTTACATATAAAAGACAGGAGGTTATATCAGCCTACAGCCCATATTCATTGATTATTATGTTTTAATTATACTGGCTACTCCGTTTGTTTCCGGAGTGTGTTCAGAAATTAATTTCGAACTACCGTAATTATTATTAATAATAATAAAAACAAATGCATATTTCAGGTACAAAGTTGCAGGACTGTTTGCTTGCAGTAACTGAAAGTAAACTGCACTCTTTGCAGTGTGGCTGTAACTAGACTACCGCCTCACACGCCAGGAGGGTGAACCGCCGGAAACAACCTACCCTGCCTTCTCCGTGCGTGAACCTTACGTGATTGACAGATCAGCCGGACCAATCGCACGCCCACTTCCCCTTTCCCGCGCTCCAATCACTTGCCCAGGACGCGTACACAGAAAATTTTACGGCGCAGTCACGGTAGGTTGAGCCGACTGAGGTCCATAGAAATTTGACAGCTTCACAGGTGAGACAACCGTCCAGAGGCTGTTTCACTTTAGCTTCCAGGTTTTTTTTTTCTCTCGGAACTCTATTCACTGTGAGCCTGGGGTTGCCACAGTCAAAAAACAACCATTCGAAGTCTAATCATTCCGGCAGCATGAGCAAAAAGAAAAAGGACTGGAAGACTGAAAAAGGTAAGGCTTGTTTTGGAAAGGGGGGGAGGTGGAATGAGGCTATCATCATCTCCATGGCAGACGGCGTGAATCTTTACAACGCCAGAAGACTGACAGACACTCTTTCCGTCTTGTCCGTGTGCTGCAGTAGTAGCCTACTTGTTTCCTAGACTGCTTGATAATCCCACAGGGCGGACTGTACAGATGTTGTAATGATGTTCCGCCTCCTGTTTGTGCCGCCGTAATGTGTGTTTGACATTCGCAACAATGCTGCCGACACAGTGCTTGCTTATTAGCTTACATTTAAGGTGCTCACAGATCTTTCTCGAGTCTTCACGTACCTGTCAGAGTACCCCACCACCCCCAACTAACAGTTCCCGTCTCCCACCTGTATGATGCAGCAGCAGCAGCAGCAGTTCGCTGAGTTGCAAACAGCATTCTCTGCAACTGAATGCCCTTGTAGGTATACAGCTCTCTTAGGAATTAGCGTGCATTAATATAAACCGTGCACTTATTCTTAAAGCCGACCACAGTTTGAAGCATACAACGATAGCAGGTTATTGTGAAACTTTTCTCTTTGACATACAGGACAGACCTGTTGTCTGACAAAGAGGCAGAGGCAGTAAGGGAGACTTCAGCACTTTGTGAAGTTTACTTGTGAGTTGTAGCTTTGTAACTCACAGCAGAGCTTTTTCGGGGTAAACTTCTTTCTTTTGGCTTAGCAGCTGTGGTTAGTGTGGCAGTCACTGGTTGCATTGCGTTTCTGCCACCTTAAAAACGAGCAAACAGCAACTAGACTGCAGCCACAATTATGCATGTCGATTGCACATGTATTTTCCCTGCTATGACATGCTTATAGAGAGAAGCAGTGCTACATAATGTCACATTAGGGGCAAATTTCCTTATCTGATCTAGCTCATTCAGTAAATGAAACCATGTTTTTGTTTTTTGTTTTGCATTATATTGGTTGTCGGCTTTCAATTTGAATTATGCATTTGTTTTATGGTTCAGTCTGTGTCTAAAGGATGTTTCTATAAATGCTTCCAGTTTGAGCAGGAAGCACCACAGAATGAATATCAATGTAAGTACTATTGTTAATCTACGTCAAATCCTTTTAATAGGAGATCATGGTAAGTCAAAACATGAAAGAAAGAAAAACCCTTTAAACTTAAGGATATTAACATTCTTATTTCTTAAAATGCTCCTTGACTTGGGCGAGTCTCTAGGCTTTGGGAAATCGCGCTATGTAATAACACCAAAGATGAAATAATTTCCCTCATTTTGACACTTTTAGTTTCTCTGGAAAGATCAGCCTTATTTCTGAAACGGTTGAAAATCTGATTTGCCACATTTACCAGAATTCTGACTGTAGTAAAACTAGGGAGATTTATGAAAAAGAATGAACAACATATAGAAACATAACCGAGAATATTCATGAATAAAAAGACAGCATATGCTGTTCAGGCTGCAGGTACTTGGATAATGCCAGTTTTTGTAGTTTTGCCTCTGTACGCCACGACACTGGAATTTAAATCAAACAGTCAATATGAATTTAAAATTCACACTTTGAACTTTAATTCAAGGGGCTTTGCATAATTTTTTGCATTAACTATTGAGGAAATACTGTTTCCAATGGCTCAAAAGTAATTGGACAACTGGCTGACAAAATGTTTCATGGTTAGATGAAGTCAGTTTGCTTATTATTCCAGATAAAAGATCTGGAGATTATTCCAAATGCTGAACTTGAATATGGTAACTTTTCACTGGAACTCTAAATGTGATGTCCAAAGTGATGTCAGCGGGAGTGAGGGAGGCCATCATTAGGCTGAAAACCCAAAAAATAAACCTATCAGAGAGACAGTAAAAACTTTTTGAGTGGCCAGATCAATCAAAAAGAATGAAAACACTAGCTCAGCCATACCAAAAGGTCTGCGAGACCACAGAAGACTAAGTAGATGAATTCTTCTCTTAGTTAAGAAAAACGCTTCACAGCATCTAGCAAAAACACTTTCAAGGAGGTTGGTGTATCATTACCACTGGTTACACTCATGAAGGGTTTGGCAGCAAATATCTAAAAGAGCCTGCACAGCTCTGATTGATTGGAAGAGAAAAGTCTGGAGAATGAAAGGATCTGCTCCAAATGCATAACCCTAACCCTGATCCAAAGCATAAAACATTATCCATTGAACATAAACGAGGCAATGTTATGTCACGGGCATGTGTGGCTGCCATTTCAACCATGGGCCTAGTGTTGATGATGTGACGGCTGATAGAAACAGAGGGATGAATTCTGAAGCGTAGTGGGCTATACTCTCCGCTTAGGTTCAGCTAAATGCCGCAGGGCTGATCGGACAGCACTTCAGTGTGCAAAATGAACCAAAGCATACTGAAAAAGCCATGGAAGAGCTTTTCAAGGCAAATATTCTACAACTGCCAAGCCAGTCACCTGGTCTCAACCCAGTAGAGCAAGCTTTTCAGTTAGTGAAGCGCAAGGAAGGAAACACAGTATCTAGTTATGGCGATTGTCTTGAAGTATTTAAACCAGTCATTATATTTCAAATTATGTCAGTTTGTCCCATCAGTTTTGAACCTCTGAAAATGAGGCCATATGCATAAAAATGAAATATGTTAAAGGTTGATGCATTTTTTTTGTTAAACACCTTCAATAAAGTTGAAAGTTTTCAATCACACCTTTTAAAACCACTGGAGGCAAAATTAGAGAAATTGCCCAAAAGTCATTGATCTACCGTATTTCCCGGACTACAAAGCGCACCTGAATATTAGCCGCACAAGCTAAAATCAGGGGAAAATCCTGTTTTGTACATACATTAGCCGCACCTGACTAAAAGCCGCAGGTGTTTCAATGTTGACTTATCATATGTAAGAGAATATGCACAAAGGGAATTGTCAGGAAAGAGATGGCCGTTTGGAGACACACACACATTAATATTTTGAAAAACAAGTTATGGGTACATATTTGCATAACTTTTTAGGTATATGTACAAGTAGCGGTAATTACAAGTACGAAACATGTACTGTGCTTCATAAATGAGTAACAAATGTAGTACATAACAATAACCTACAGCACACCAGAAAAATAGATTGGACTACCTTTTAGGCTCAGGTGCAGTGACATGGCTTTAACAAGAAGAAAAGTCAGTCATTCACCACCATCTTCCTGCGCACTAAAACCACCAAAGTCCTCTTCTCCAGTGTCGGATACGAACAGGCTCAGGATGGCTACGTCATCCACTCTCAGCTCCTTTCCTTCGTTGTCACTTTCAAAACCAAACAATTACTCGTTGTCAGTGTCAGAGTCAAACACCCTCAGAAGGGCCGTGGCGGTGTCCTCCTCTCCATCATGCAGCAGTCCAGCCCTTCAAAATCCGTTGGTGATCATGGATGTTTTCACACTTTTCCACGCTGTCAGATTCCACCGGTGGAGTTGAGCATAACTTGCTTTTTGCAAGTTTATCGCCGCTCGTCATCCACGCCTCCCGCTGAACACGTAGCGCTACTTTGAAGTTTGGTTTTCACGCTACTTGTGTGGAACTATGTTGCCTGGCGGATGGACATGTGACCAACATACCACTCTTGAACCCCGATACTGTGTGTCTGATCACATGCCCTTCCGCCAGGCAACGTAGTGCCGTACAACAGCGGAACAAACAAAACAAATCGTCTTACGATATGACAAAAATCATGGACAATCCATAGAAAAGCCGCACCTGACTAAAAGCTGCAGGGTTCAAAGGTTGTGCAAAAAGTAGCGGCTTTTAGCCCGACAATTACGATACTTGTGATATATGTTATATGTGTGCAGCACAGATGACTTGCCCTTTCAGCCAGGAGTTTAGAAAACTATTCGGGCCGTTTGATTGATATGATACTATGTGAAATAATCTCATGACCTCTAACCCAATCTTTGAGATTCTGCAAAGGACAGCAACAAAGTGCTTCACTGTAGTCCAGAGAGCCTTTCTGTGTTCAACTCCAGAACTGCCTTTTTATTCATCCATGTAGAATAATAGCTATTTTAGGAGTAACAGCAGTGGGCAAGAGGGAGAGAGAATACATCAGGGATACAACAGATATCCCCTATTGCTGCAAGGCCTTCAATGTAAGCCTGACCTCCTGTGACATTCTGTGTAACGATGATCCAAAGAAGCTTACATTTCTGACCAGAACATAGTCATCTCTTTTTCCCTGAATATGTAGGCTTTTATTTGTGCAACAGTCTCATAACCCATAGTGCCATTTAAAAAGAAACAATTCAATGTTGATATGACATGCATTTTATTTATTACAGAGGTGATTTCAAAGTACACAGTGTAAACTAGGCTACTTATCTGGCAATGATTTCACAGTAGCACATAATTAGGATGATTTGCTTTTGCTTTTGCACAACAGCTCAATGCTGTCAACCAGTAGCAAGCAAAGGCTCTGTTGCAGTCAGAGCAGAAAAGCAGCAGAAGTTATTTGATATTAGACAATTATAATGTAGGTTGTTTTAAAAACAAACACATAAGCAATACAAAGCACTGAGATTTCTTGTACATTAGCGCCTAGTATGAGTTTAAATGTAGTGAGATTTTACGAAGTAAGTTCTTTGAAATAGTTTCTTGACAGACAAAGGGCAGGACAGTGTAGATATAGTTAGTATTTATTTATGGGTTCTGTATTTCACTCACTGGCTGCAAAGGATTTTCATTCAGGTATTAAAAACAATCCTTCTGCTTAAAATGATGTTAGTTGGTCCAGTTAATTTTGAGTCTCTAAAAATGGGGGGATTGTGTAAAATAACTGTTGTATTTCCTAAAGAATTAATGCAAAAAAAATGTGTTAAACCCTTCATATTAAAGCTGAAATCTGAACTTTGATCACATTTTGCTTGCCTGATTTAAAACGTATAATTTAATTTAAACTTCATAGATAACTGGAAAACTTCTGGTCTTATTAGAAGAGATGACTTCATCTCACTTTGGATGGAGCAGGTTGCAATTCTAGAAATCTAAATTGTATAAATTTCCTGTGAGACCAACAAAGAACAAACCAAAAATCAGCAAAAAATAATGTAAATATAAAAATTCACAAAAAAATCATTAATATAACTCTCTCGACCACATCAAGGAGTAAATTAATTAAATGTAAACTGTTGAACATTAAGTTTTTCTCTTCTAAATCTCTGTTAGTAAATGATTTATTAATTAATTGATCAACATTATTGATTTATTTCCCCTACAGAAGCCCGGATGCAGCAGGATAAATATGTTAGTTTAAATTAATCAGCACCCTTAAGTCATACTAACTGTCAGAAGCACAGGCTGAGGAGGAGGAGCAATCTTTCACGCTAGCTTAGTTTAATCAAGCAGTTGATAAGCCAAAGTGCAAAGATCTAGAAAAGTTCTAATTCATTTGAAAGTGAAAAACACAAAAAAACTGTTTTCCTTTTTGTTTCTTGCTCTTTTTCAGAGTTTCTATTAGGGCTGCTCAATTAATCGAATTTTAATCACGATTACGATCTGGGCTTTCAACGATCATTAAAAATGACTGAGCCGATTATTAGCCCCTCCCTCATTTATCCGCGACACCTTAAAGGCCGGTCCGTGAAAATATTGTCGGGCATAAACCGGTCCATGGCGCAAAAAAGGTTGGAGACCGCTGATTAAGAGGACCCGAGGGAAGCTCGGAAAGCTAAGCAGAAGTTATTTGGAGAGGAGAGTGACTGCCGTTGGTTGAAAAGAGAGGTTAAAAAAAAACTTCAGTGGTGTTGCACACTATTTTATATTATTTTTTAAAGTCATTGTTAACCCTTTAAAGCCGGTCAGAGCAGCACGCTCCGTTTTGTGTAACTATTTTTAAATCCCTGTAGAACCTGAACCGTGTAAGCTAGCGCAATAATTTGTTTTGCATATGAAACCGGAGGAGTTGTACTTACATCTTATGCCATCAGCTTGTCCTCGGTCACGGTTTCCTTCCACATAAAGCTTTGCAAAAATTGCATAAAAAGCGCTTGCAGGAACAAAAACATAATATTCCAGAAACACTTTGCCGATCCGATCAGCTGTTCGTAACACTTTCTGGATGCTAGAAATGCACTGCTGGAAATAGTTTATTTTATGCACTTTGCAAATTTGCATCATAGGATTGTTTTTTGTTTTTCCTGCAGTATATAAAAATTGTGTATCTCCAAAATAAAACTATGAAGACACTCAAAATAAATTTCCTGTTGTTGTAAACTATTTTTTGCAACTTTTTTGTATTTAAAGTTTTGAGGGATAAACCTCTTAAATTTCTCCAAGTAGAAATATATGTAAAAAAAAAACAAAAACGATTTTCAATTTTTTTGTAGTTTATTGCACTTTTTTGCAATTAATGTAGTTACTATGGACTTAATGCATACATATTATTAAAATATGGGCTATAACAGTTGTATTGATGTATAGCAACTTGAAATGCTCCCACAAATGGCACTACAGCATGTAAAAAAATAATATAAGCTCTGGCGGACTTGGTTCTATGGTAGGTCTTAAAGGGTTAAATAAATATCGTCAAATAATCGTGATCTCAATTTCAGTGAAAATAATCGTGATTATCATTTTTGCCATAATCGAGCAGCCCTAGTTTCTATTGATTTCATTAATGTATTTTCTTTACAAAGAAAATGCTAACCATTACAGGAAAAAGATATTCCGAGTTGACCCACAGAGCTAACATGAAGAAAAGCAACTTTAATAAATGCTGATATATATTTAGGCTCTTTCTCTCATATTGATCTTTAAAGTTTAACTTCATGTGTTTACTAGCTCCAAACCATCAACAGTCTTGCAGGAATAGGGTCGATTAGACTCAGTTCCTACAAGACTATTGATGGGTCTAATGTACCCCATTCCAACAACACTGTTCAAAGAAGTTTAACCATTGTTTTTTTAATACGATCAGTTTATCTTTATTAACAGGCTACATATCACAGGCTTTTAAGGTGGTTGTAATTAAACCACATGAGTTGCTACTTGGCTCAGGCAGGATTTATACCTTTCATTTTATTTTGAAAAATTCTTGAATGAGTAGTTGTAAAACAGGTTGTTGATCCCCTGCAGAGGAATGGTTTGTTTGAACTTGCAGCTACTGTTGGTATAAAGAAAATGAGTTGCAGTTGTTTGAGTCGTATCTATCTGACAGATTCCATATTGTTTATGTAAATCATTTTGCTTTGTAGATGATCTCCAGCTTTATTTATCAATATAGCCAGATGAGATTTATTACTATGAGACTGCTCTGTTGTACTTGATTATTATCAGGTCACTCTAAAAACACTCTGAAAAGTTGCTCCAGAACACTGCATTAGAGAACTAACAGGGGCGATAAAGAGACACCGTATTTCTCCCTCTTGCACTGAACATTTTTTCCATCTTTAGTTCCTTTTACTTTCACTTTCTTTTCTCCCTCTACTCCTTGCTTCCTCCCCTCACCGCTAACGGGTCACAGCAGAAGGCTAGCCCTCTTTGAGCCTGCTTCTGCCAGAGGTTTCTTCCCTACCACTATCACTATGAAGTGCTTGCTCACAGAGGACTGTCTGATTTTTAGGGTTTTCTCTAGATCATCGGGTTCTGGGGCAATATATTAAGTTCAGTTCAATTGAAAGTTCACTGTGGTTGAGTACAGAGGCAAAATTACAAAAATTGTTTAACTTTTCAAATATTTATACACCTTGACTGTATTTTCAATGACCTGTAAGTCGTATAGGAGTTTGTGCAGAGAAAAAGCAACACAGAGCTTTGAACAGGGAGGACTAAAAGCTTGGATTCATGCACGAAGCCTGCACTAAAATAATGCTTGTCTGACAGGCGTGTGGTGTCCACAGCTGCCAGTTTAAAGCCATAAGCGATGGCTAAACACCCTCCATCACAATGCTACTGATGAAGGGTCTGTCTCATGACAGGTCCAACTAACTTGTGGAGGAGAAGTTCCACATTCGCATCAAGGCCTGAAACTATTACTGATATGGGTGGGGGCCTTCAGTAAAGCAAGAGCACTTTTCTATGACTTTGGTTAAGAGAAGAAAAAAAACTAAATTAAGTTAAAGTGAAGGAAGGATGTTTGTGATTTTTAACATAAATCAGTACAGCACCTATTTGTGCAAGGACTACATTTTTGGCCTGTTTTTATCAGTTATTTTTTTAGTAAAACTGTTTTTATTTTCTCTCACGTGTATGCAACTTGTCTTCACAGAGAGACTGCTCCATCTAAGTTTGGATGACAGGCGCAAGGAGTATCGTCGTCAAGATTTCATTTCTCTGGACAAGATACTAACCTGGAGAGAGAAAAACAGATGTAAGTGAGGGAGTGTGCCATTTGGGATGCTGAAGTGTTTCTAAGTGTGTGGTCGTACACATTGTGGTAATTTTTACAGGTCGATCAGAAACCAGGAGTGCTGTTTGTCAGAAAAGCTGGGTCAGCCCAAGTACAATTAATTTAAGCTAAAAATTTAAGATGAACAGATGCATTTTCATAATTTCACTTATCTAAAATATATGTATTATCTATCTTTTTAATTTGTTGCCCATTTCAAAACCTAAATGAGAAACTGGTGTTGGATTATATAGCTGTAACAAAATTAACCCTAGACAATGGCTGTGCTACATGAACATTAATCAATTGAAAGAGACATTTGTAAACAACAGTATGTTACTTAGTCTTTTATCTCAAACTGTGGACTACTGCTCTTTATTGATAGCTGAAACTTTGGTGCTCTGTCACTTGCTGAACAGAGCAGAGGCAGAAAGACAACGTTGTGCAAGAACTTGTTGCAAAATAGTGATGTCACAGACCCCTTTCCTTTAAAAAAAATTGTTGCTAAAAGGGTGTGAATGGTTTCTTCATCTGGCCAAAAAGGTAAAGTGAAATGGTGGGGTTACAGCTGTGAGTAAGAAGGATGCCAAAATGAAAATGCATTGTAGCACACCTTTATTGCTTCCATAGCAATTGAGAGAGTAAGGATCAGCCAGCGACTGCTAATCAAATGCAGTTTAGTGGGTGATCATCACATGTTTAACCAGCTCTATAAAAACAGAAGTTTTGGCTTAATTCCCTGTTCTTAGCTGACAGAAGTGGCAACCGGTGTGGTCTTCTGCTGCTGCTTAAAAATTTGTCTAGGGTTTTTGTAAGATTCTGTTCAGAGTCTTTCCCATCCTGATGCTCAGTTTTAACTTTAGCAGGTTGTCTCAACCATCTCTACATGCAGAATTCTATCTAGTTTCTGAGTGGCTAATAAGATAGTTACATTAACAAACAGTTAAACAGGTATACCTAAAAAATTGTCCAGTGAAGTGTATTTTCCTATATTCAGTTACTTGGACAGGAATTGTATTGATTTAAAGTTGGAATTAGTGTATTTAATTAACATTACAATTCACAAAGCATATCAAAATATGATGTAAAATAGAGATGCAAGTGAAAGATTATGAAAAATAATTTTTTAATTGTGAAACAGCGTGATTACCCTGTAATAGTGTTAGAAATAATAAGCAGAACTCATTTAGATTCAGAAAGCTGAATTATATTTTCTTAATGTATGAAGCTACCTTTAAATGGCACATTTAAAAAAATAAGCCATTTGTTATGTAAAAAAAAAAAGTCATTTTAAAGTTGAAGATAAGAGTTAATGGAAGGCTTAATATGTTAATATTATAAATCGACCTGTCATTCAGTATGTGACTGTGTATGCTGTATGTGAAGCAAGAAGCAAAACTCATTGCTAATAAAAACCAACACAGGCTTTTAAATTGATTATGACAAAAAAAACTCTGCATCAAAGAAAGCTGTTGATTTTTACTATTAATAGACACTGTGGAATGGTTATAAGTGAACTTGTCTTGCTTGTCCACTGTACTTAACTGGTTCACAACAAAAATCAATACTACACACTGCATCACACAAGTATTTTTAGACAGCTTCTACAAATAGAATAAAAATGTGAGTATTGATGTATAGGACACTGGAATCATTGACAAAGTGATCCTTACAGTCTTTGTTTTCTTATTTCAGGTGATGACCAAGAAGATGGGAAGGAGGTGACAGGCAGAGGAGGGCTGAGTGATAAAGTATCTCTTTACAAAGGAGATATTACTGTCTTGGAGGTGGATGCCATAGTCAATGCTGGTAGGCACTCTGTTCTCTGACCTTTTAGAACAGGTGGATGGTGTTTGATGCCTGAAGGCTGTTAAGTTGTCCTTGGCTGCCCTCTGCTGTTAAGACTTGGGAAATACTGGTTGTTATGGCATTACACAGTGGTCAGCATGACTGAGACAAATGTTAAAGTACACATCTGCTCTCGCTGATCTGACTGTCCGAAAGTTAAAATACATTGCTGTTTAGACTATAATTGCAGCTCATGGCCTTTCTCGTGAAAGTGACAGACAAGGGTTCATGACCAGCTGCTTTTGGTGAGGTTTATCTGGTTTGTCAGTGATGCGACACAGATCTGTCAGTGATTATTCAGTGCTGCTGTTGGGGGAAACAACATAAACATCTTTCGAAGTGAGTGAAAAACCAGGATGAAGAAAGGTTAGCAGAAGTGTGTGTTTTTTCTCATTATTGCATCACTGTTATATAATATTCTGCATTCTGTTCACAACCTACACACAGAGTTATAAGTGTGGAAGAATTGCTTTACCTGTTGCTAGAGCTGATCCAGAGGAGAATGTTTCAGCTTAAAGTTGTGGTACCTCAATAACTGTGCAGGAGCAGAATATTAATATAGTATATATTGGATTTCTGTTGTTTCACAACTTTTCTTTTCTCACAAAGTGTTTGCAAATACGTTCATATTCTCATTAGAGTCTACTAGGCAGTGTTCACCTTGTGTGAAATTAGTGCCCTATAATTTATGCAAGATTAATAGATGTGAAAAACAGACTGCTCCATCGGATGAGGCTAATGAACTTAATGTATTATGTAAAAAGCCATGCTGATGAGGTTGGCATGGTGTCAGCATTATGTAAAAAGAGTACAACTGACATGAACCTTAATCTCATGGCTGTTGTGTCTGTTCATCAGCATGTTGACCTACAATGTATCACATGCATTATTATAGAGGTCAAATAGATTCTTCCACTAGTTTTATTGTTGCATGTTATTTACTTTGGTGTTGTGACAGAATCAACTAATTTTGATACAATATATGAAAAATATTAATATTCAACACTATGTTTGATACTATGGTGAGGAAAATGACCACAACATTAAAGTTTGTTACTTTGAACTTTTACTAAAAGATAAAAACAATGATTATTCTTTTACATTAATGAAAGCTTATTGAGGTACTTATCTGTACAACTAGTATCTCTGTTCTGTATACATACTTTGATATAGATAATCAATTGTTGCATGAACATGCCACAATAACGTTGCATAAAATGCAGCCAAAATATTTAAAAAAATAAAGGTGCATTTGTTTAAATTATTAATCATTAAGGAAAACGTGCCTGCTGTAAAGTGAAAGTATGTTTCATTTGAACAGATGCCATTAAATTTAACATGTAAAACAAAAAACATGTGAAAATTGACATGTAAACAAATTATTTAAAATCTGCATTTTTGCATACATATTTTTTGAGTATAATGCTATAAACATACTGTATATCACATACTCGTATGAAAGTCAGGAAACTTCTCTTTGCAATTTTACATAATTTTACTGTTTAAATTTGTTACATGTAAGTCTGTGGCCTCAAAATGAAATATTTAGGTTATGGATAAAATGAGCAGTGCTTTGTGGCTGGATGCTTAGGGCACACGAGAAGAGAAAATAAGGTTCAGGATGCAACGTTGCAGGTTTTTGTTTTACACTGTTTAATGCTATTGCAGCAGAGGAAGGTTGTTTACTTCATCAGCTAATGCAGCCAGACATCCAGGCTGTGATTGAGCAACATGCTGGCTAGGAGGCAATTGATTCTGGTTAGCAGGCTGTCAGAGGTGCTCGAAAGGTCAAATGAATTGCTGAAGCCTTTTATAATTTTTTAGGTCTCAGCATTTGGCCCTCTGTACCTCCATTCATACTGTCAAGCCACTCGTCTTTGTACAGGTGGTAGCACTGATAAGAACACAGTGATGGACTTTACTGTCCAGTTTTGTTTATAGTGTGGGGCAGTTTTGCACAGTAGTTTGTTATGAATGGGGATTTTAATGTAAATGGAAAGTTCCAGTCCCAATGTTTTTGTCACTGGTAACAAAACATTTTACAGGATGACATTGTGCTATATAAATATTGCTGGCAAACGATTGAGTTGATTAGGCTGCACATGCTCTTGGTCCTGTGGATCTTGCCCAAATTTTTTGTGACTAACACAGTTCTGAGCAGGCATTGTGGATGTTGAGCAACATGCACTGATAAGATCTTTTGGATAGCTTGTTCAACTTCTTGCCTTTCATCTATTCAATGGTTCCAATCTCTGGCCTGCAGTACTTCCATTTTCTCATGCTGTTTTTCACTTGGGCTTGGCACCAGCAGACTGCTGTGTGTGAATTGTGGGAGTTTTTGAAAGTATTACTCACAAGCTTAATAAACAGTCCGAATGACTTTTTCTCACCACGGTCCAACGTGATTTATAAATTGAGATATTACGAGTGCAAATTGTAGGTATATGTGGAGGTTGGTGTGAAGGAATACATCTTTGTGACCCCATATTTATTTAGGCTACTAATTATGTCCTTTTATTCATTTATTTGGCAGTTTAATATCCTGTTGTGCTGGGCTGTGATGTGATATGGAAGACACAGCTCATTATTTATTATGGCATACCTTAACTATTACTTTAAAACTGCATTAGCAATGTGTTCTCCAGGTTTGGCTCATTGGAATCACCAGTGGCAAAATTCTTGCGGTTCATTGCAGCGATCAGCTTGTTAAAGCTGACACATTTGTTTTAATTATGTTCCATTTTCATCCATTTCTTAGGGAAAAGACTTTACAACAAGATTTTGTCTCGACAGCAGCAGTATGCGGCTTATAAAATAAGAAATGTCCAGCTTGCCGTTACCTGTTATGGCTTCTGCCTATAGCTTTAAGAGGGTGTCAAGTTGCTTTATGTGCTCCATTAAAATTTAATTATTGGGCTCATTGAGTTTTTAATTCTTCTCTAATTCTGTTTAGCTGGAGGTTGCACAGGAGGCGCTTAAACTGTCACCCGTGTGCGAACCTGTGGGAGGTGGTGTCAGTTAAGTGCAGGGTTAGAGGGCAGAGCGGCTATAACATGACACGGTGAGTCAGGCTGCAGCATCTTGTCCCAGCAGATGTTGAGACTTAGCCCAGAGTATAGAATGACCCTGCTGTAAAAGTGATGTTAGACCACACTCATGCTTCTTGCAGTCCTCTCGGAAAACATAATGAAAATGATAGGAATGGGTACAGATGCAGACATACCAGCTAAAAATAAAAATCACACAGTTTTCTAAAATAAAGCGAAACAGATGAAAGTGTTTAGAGTCAGGCATCCTCTATTTAACTGAGGAAGACCTTTACTCTGTTTCTCCCTATATATTGAAATGATCACAAGTATCAAATGTTTTGATATAATTTGATCGTTCCCATAGATCTCAATCAAGGCTGAAGGTTTAGTCACTGTTCCTAATGAGCCATTTAGGCAGTCTCTGTGACGGGAAGCACCTTGTGCTTTCGAACATCGGTCGTTTTTTATTGCCTTTTAAATAAAAAGTTAGATCAATTGGCCATGCTCAGTAGTGCCACAAAGCATGATTGGATATAATTACGTCACTGTACCATGCAGTCCTCCTGTCTGGATGATATCATCTATGTTGCTTCACTTTCTGTTAGAGTTTTTCATGTTCTTATCCCAGGATGCTTTGTTAGTCCTCTAGTTTTATGCTGCTCTGATTCAAAGCACTTTGTGCCTGACTCTGGAAACCAACCGCATCACATAACTGGGCCTCCTCCGTGTATTTCATTGGGATTTTTTTGTTCATAATGTTTCTCTTTCTTCTTGTGTGAACATTTCTTTCATCTGCCCACAGCTGTCCAAAGAACATATTTCCTAAGAAGTGTTGTGGCTTGACAACATGCATTTTAGCAAACCCAAGTCTGGTTTTATCTCTCTCTCTCTCTCGCTATATATATATATATATATATATAAAATACAATTTATTTGTATTTTTTTTGCAAAGCAAAATGTGGTGTGACTGGAAACCATACAATTTTTTTGTTGTCATCTTGTTTATGTGTGTTTTCAAGATTTATAACTAACAACTAGCAAAGCTCTTTAGACTTATTTTTGAATATGCTTGTATTTTCTTTCTTCCCAATCTCCTCAGACAACTCTTTAATCTTCTTTCTCTTGTTCATGTTGTTGTTGGTGCATGCAGTGAAACTAAGAGCACAGTGATTACTTTTCTCCTTTCAAAGAGGCTGAATGACTAATTATAAGATTGAAGACTCCTGTCAAAATAATTGAAGACAATAGCCCGCTATGTCACTACAATGCAATTGCTTATCACTACGTCTAATGGTGATAAATAAGGTTTTTCCAATAATAGCATTCAGGCTATGTTTGAAGATCTTTTAAGACTAAAAATGAATTAAGTTCTTTCACTTGTTTTATTCTATGACAAACTGAAGGTTTGGAGGTAAACATGACAAAAGGGCTTTTAATTTCACCTCTGTGAGGATGGGGAGTTATGTCAGACGTGAACGGCACATTTGCTCGTGTATGACTGAGAGACACACATCCTACAATCTGGATTTGATCAGATTTTGGCCCTGTACATTTCTAATCCTGTGTATTCCATTAGTATAAAGATTTGCTACCCAAATTTTTGTACTTAGTGCATTTTTCTTTTTTTTTTTGTATAATAACTGTAGCGTGATCTTTTGTTTTTTTAAAACATACCCAGCAATTTCTCTGATTGCTAATTCACTGACTACAGTAGACTGTGTAGACCATGGTTAAATTGATAGCAGGATGATGAATGGAAAGAAAGAACTATCACAGTTAATCAAGCCTTGCTTCATAGAAAATTACAGGGTTCACTAAAAGTGGGTGTTAAATTTAATGTATATAATTTATTTTGGTTTTAAATGGCAAACACAAGAAAATATCGGCCTTCTTTTTTTCCCGCTCTTGTCTTTCTGGATGGAGTTCACACGA